ATTTGGGGCCTGGTTTGGGGGGGCTGTTTGGGGGCTCAGTTTCAGCCCCCCCTGAGCTCCTGTGCCCCCCCAGGCTGATCGGGCTCCCCCAGGAGGACGAGTGGCCGCAGGACGTGGCCCTGCCCAGGGAAGCCTTCACCCCCTGCGCCCCCCGAGAGCCCCGGGGGGAGGTCCCAGAGCTGGGGGACAGCGGGGAGCAGCTGCTGCTGGTGAGGGGGGACACGGGGGGACATGGGGGGACAACACAGGGACACAACTGCTGCTGCTGGGTGGGGGGGGTGGGGGGAATGGGAACACTGGGGGACCATGGGGGCACCAGGGGAGGGGACACCTCAGGGGGACAGGGATGCTGTGTGTGACACTTGGGGACACCTGGGGGGGACAGGATGGGACGTCCCCATCCCGCCCTGAGCTCGGCAGCCCCTTTGGGGAGGGGGTTACAGTGGTGTCCCCCCGTGTCCCTGACTCTGTCCTGTCCCCTGCCCCAGGCACTGTTGACCTTCAGCCCCCACAAGCGAATTTCGGCTCACGAGGCCCTGAGGCACCGGTACCTGCAGGGGGGGCGTGAGGGGTGACCCCCCCCTAAAAAAAAACCACTCCTGAACATCCCGCAGGACTCTCATATCTCTGTGGTGGAATTGTGGGGTGACACCCCCCCAAAAACACCCCCTGGGCCCCTCCCACTGGTACTGGGGGTGGGGGGGGGGGTGTGAGGGTCCCCTGAACCTCCCCCAGGGACACCAGGACTGGATTTGGGGGCAGACCCCACTTATCGGAGGGGAGCAGTTTTTGGGACACCCCCCACCCCCCCATTTCTCTGCCAATAAAGGGGTGTGGGCAGCACGCCCCCCCCAAATCGTGTGGCCTGTGTCACTGGGGGTGGCCGGGGGGGCACCCCAGAACGAGCCCGAGCCACGGTCAGTGTTGTGTGTTTATTGGGGGGACACGGTGACCCCCCCATGGTGGCAGCAGGGGGGAGGCGTCCCCTGCTCCCCACCCCCCATCGGGTCTGGGGGGGACACACACTGGGGGGGGGTCACTGGTGCCAGTCATGGTGTAAACCAGTACAGACCAGTTTAGGGGTGTTGAGAGGGGGGCCCTGCTGGATTTGGGGAGGTCACGACCCCCCCCTCAGCCCCCCCCAGCCCTCAATGCCCATGAGGGGGGGAGTGTATGGGGGAGGGGCAGCCCCCAGTTTGGGGGAGGGTCAGACTGGGCCGAGGGGGAGTCACTGTGGTGGGGGTCCTGCCCCGTGTGACCCTCCCCAGTGTGGGGGTGACCATGACCCCCCCGGGGGGTGACACACCGTGGTGGGGGGGGCTGGGGGTGTGTGAATGACCAGTACAAACCAGTTTGGGAGAGCTCAGTCTGAGATGAGTGGGGGGGGGGCGGGGGGGACTCTGCCCCAGGCCCCTTCTGCTGTGGGGGGG